GATTGGCTCCAAGAGTGAGATAACCCTATGGACCTGATGGTTTGGGGATGGCGTGAGGTAGAGGTTGTGGAAAAGTTGGATTTTAAAATAAGAATATAAAGTAAAAATCATTTTAAATGAAAATTTCTCATGGAAATGTTTTAAATTGCACATGAATTGTAATGTATGCAGTTGGGTAATACGACCCTGGGAGACCATGCAGATACAAAAAGAAAGTTCAAGTGAATGCTGGGCACCCTAAAATCAGTAGGTGCAACCAAGAAAGATAATCCAAGAAGTGAGGCTGAGAAAGTTTGTCCTGTTATAAGGCAAAAACCAGGAGGGCACAGTGGCAAATGCCAGGAGAAAAGTGTTGTAAAAACAAAAGCCTAGTGAATGTTTCTAAATGGCCAATATGAGAAGAACAGAAGTGACTGTTGAATTGGAAATGTGGAGGTCTTCGATTTACCAAGTCATCTTCAAGAGTGGGTTCACAAAAGAATGCAAAGTTAAGAAGTGGAGAGTAAGATTATAAGAAAGTTATACTTTTTCTGGGCAAAGAAGTGAGATGGTGAGTAGAAGAGAATGTGAGGACAAGGTCTGTCTTTCTAAGGAGATACTAGATTTAATGATATTTCTCAAAGGTAAAGAAGAAACCACCTCACCCAGAGATAACTGGGGATATGTGGGGTTACTTTTTGGTGTTCCCAATTACTGCTGCAGCTGGTGCTCAACACCCTTCAGAGCTCAGGGCATTCTCTCTTGAGAAAGAACTGTCTTTCCCCAAAAGCACTTGAACCACTTATAGATTGATGCCAGTGGTTTATCTTGGGCTCTGTTTTCATTTGAGTCTCTCAACAAAAATATCCAGGCCTCACATGAAGGTCCATGCTATCTGAAATTTCTTCACCAAACCTCTGACAGTTGCTGGATTTGTCCTTGACTGGTCCACCTTCGCTCACCTGTATTCCAGAATCAGTCGCTGAGACCAGGGCAATTCCAGACACTGTTTCCTGCACGCTCATCCTCGAGAAACCCCCAGGATGAGGAGTGGGGTGGTGCTAATTAATGACTGTCCACTCGTGGGGGCGGGGGAAAAGTGACTTGCCCCACCTAAATCCCAGAACTGCACACAGTGCAGAAAGAGAGTAGCTGCTTTTGAGGTAGTCAGATTCTTGTAAGGACAATAATCATTGATGAATGATACAAAACGACTATAGTTATAACTCAAAAATGTATACTCCATAAAGTCCAGACAGGACAAATAGCATGGTCTTGAGGGAAATAGAAGCACTCATCATCAGACGACCTCTTCCCCTCTTTCCTCCCATGTGTCTTATTCTTGGGATTTTCTGAGCCCAGGTCAGGGTTTATTCATAGCATAAAAAGAGAGTGTTAATGTCTCTCCCTATCTTTTATCTTATAAGTGCATTACAGTGCTTATTGATAATACACATTATTGATTATGTTTATTGATATGGTGTTTATTTTTGATGCTATAATAGGTGTCATTGAAACAATGCATTCCCAAACTTTTAATTTATAATTAAATACTGGAAAATAGAAATAAGCTAAATTCTTTATCAGATCAGTTTGTTCTTAGAACTTTTCTGCCTGTCATGAAGATGAACAGAAACCAGAAAAATTTATTTAGCATTTAGCCACATCCCATTTAATCTTATTTACAGTACAAACAGAGGATGCTGCTTTAATTAGCACCACCTCATCTAGGTGACTAAAATTTGGAAACTACTTTTGGAGGTTGTCCTATAGTAAGAGTACAGGGTCTGAACTAAGGACTCTTCCCCAGATTTCCTAATGCATCTATAATCTCAACAAGTCTTTTGTAACCATCACTTGAGGTTGCATGCACTGTCTCCATTTAGCTGATAAAGAAGCTAAGAATCACAATGACCAGGTAATTCGTCCTAAGTCGTAACATCAGCAAATGGCACAACCCCCTTCTCCTAAGGCTGGAGTTACAGAACCAGAGCAGGTAGGACATGACACATGGCTCGTATGTGTCAGAGAAAGAAGGAGACCCACAGCAAACCATGTTCCTGCTACTAAGCATCAGCCGTTTCCCACATACTTGCCTTCAGTTACCGATGATTAGTTAACCTTAAGACATTTGTTTTTATCCAAGCCAGGATTGGCCATGTACCTGCTCTGTGTTCAGTCATTCTTTCCACTGTAAACTCAAACCGTATATCTGATCTATTGCTCAGAAAAGTTTATTTTTAAGTATTGATATGATTTATACAAATTGAACTGAAGCTCAAAACCTTTTTATAAGGAAAAGAATGTTTTCAGATACTAATGATTTGAGTAAGGATACAGAACTATCTAGTGTGTTTGTTGCAGCTTTTTATTTTTCCTTTAGTTTTCTTTATAATTCTTGTCCTGAAGATAGAATTCCCATGACTTAAACCTCTGGAGAAAAATCATCATCTTAGGCTCTCCTGGACTTTTTAATTCCTTTTTTCAGTAGCATTTGTATATTTGCCAGCTGCTGCTTCCCATATTTCTTCCTATGGGGTTTTGCTTAAAAAAAAATCTATGCACACTACTAGAAAATCAAGTTTAGAAACTGGGACCCTATCATTTGTCCCTGAGAGCCCCCTACTTGTCCCACGGCTCATCTGATGACCTGGTTGTCCTATGGTCTCTGATCTGAGAATGCTGCGAACATACCTCAAGGGATTCCAATACATGTTTATTTCTCCCTTTTACTTCCGAAGGTGTCACAATGACATCTGCTTAAAAATGTATCAGAAATACCTTTTCCTCTGTAGCTGTTTTTCCATTTGTTTCCCCCCACCCCACCCCCATCAGTTATCTTTATTTGGAACATTTCGTCACTTTCAGTCCTTGCTTTTCCTGTGTATTTTCCATGCTGGTAAGACATCAGGGTTTTGTCCTTGTGATGTCATCTCTGGAGCCTGCTCTCATTTGGCATCATTTTGCTATCATTGTATCATAATAACCACTGTTCACTGTCCTTTGCTCTTACCTCTTTACTGGAGCTTTTATGTTTTTAATCCAGTTTTCTACTGCTAACCTGTATGGGAAATATTATTAGAAAGCCTGAATTATATTGCGAAGACTTTTTGCTGTTATTTGTCTTTTTATCATAAGGAAAAAGAATGCAGACTTTTCTAGAATATTTTAGGCAGCTTGTGATAGTAGAAATGGAATGTAGTTTAGAGTTAGATTGAACTATATTTGAATTATGATACCATCACCAAGTAGCTGACATCCTTAGAAAAGTGATGACAATTCTCTAGGTCTGCATTTGCTTTTCTATTAAATAAGGATAATGATACTGACCTTACCAGATTTTTGGGAAGCTTAAAAATTGCACATATAAGATACAACTATGCCACATAGTGTTTGTTTATTATTGGCATTATAATTATTATTTTATTATAATTATTACTAGGTGGGCCATCTCACCTTTGAATCAAGAATAGTAAGTAACTGCTATATTTCAAGGAAATACAACAGAAAATCAACTAGACTACCTGGCCTCAAGGAGTTTATAATGTTTTAAAGAAGGTAAAATATGTACATATACAAACATCCATTATTTCTGCAGGTAACTATGTGATGGTTGTAACCACTACAAATATTACTCAGCACATCGCAGAACACTCTCTATGGTTTATATATTGAAGCTTAGAGAACTGAGCACTAGAGAACATAGTTCATGCATTTATCCCCAGACTGTTGAGCTGATAAGGGGCTGGCAGGGGATGGTGCATGAGTCCATCTGACTCTGCAGGATGTATTTGTACCCTCTGGGCTGTACCACTTCCAGGAAAGAATGTGGCAAGTATTGTAAGACGTACATAGTAAATGCCACTGGAGCCCCGAAAAGAGGAGTTGGGTCTTGCAGGGTTCATGCCAGAGGCCATTTGGAGGAGGTCACATTTGAGATGGATCATGGAGGTGAACAGTCTCTTGACAGACAGAGGTGAAGAAGGGAGTGGCATGCATAAAGACCAGAGGTGGGGGCAGGAGCTTTCTGCAGTGTGTTTTCTGGGAGCATTTAGTTTAGCAAAGTACCTGTGGCGCTAACAGAGAAAACACTGGACTACAGGTTTATGTCAGCTGATAGGGGTTTTAGAGTTTTCTCCCCAGCAGATAGGGTGAGACTCAAGGATTTGAGTGCTATGAATGGTCAGATCTCTGGATCAGTAGGCCTACTTTGCAGAGTGGAGTAGAATGCTTTGGAAGTGAAGAGACAGAATCAGGATTCCAGCTGGGAGGCTCTTGCAAGAATCCAGCAGAGATTTCAGCAGTAGGGACAGGCAGGACAGGAGAGGGCACTGGGGTGGGGCACAGCAGGGCATGGCCTTGGCAGTGAGCAGCAGGTAGGCAAACGGCTCTGAGGTTCTAGGCAGGATCTCAGGAGAAACTGATTCCAGTAAGAGAAATGATGTCCCTAGTTTCAAAAGAAAAGGCGTGTAAGTGTATCATAAGGCTCTCTGGAGCCTTTCAATTGGGACCTCCTGTGCCCTCGGCCCTCGGCATGGCCTCCGGTGGGGCTTCTCTCTAGCCTGTATGGTGGCACCCACATTTCCATCGTTATACCACGAGTGCTAACACAATACTTTAATTTCTATTAAGAGGCATGCTGTGTGTGTATGGGAGTGTTGCATTTCTACAGGCTGTCAGAGCTGAATCTCTCCTCAATACACTCATGGGAATGTTGCAATTCCAATCAAACCAGTGTCCTGCTTGAGTCCCTGTTTCCCAGGATGGGTGGCAATGGGAACATGCAGTTCTGTTTGTGGGTCACTGACTAATAATATATGAAGGAAATCCCACAGAGAAACTCCATTTTTCTCCCAATGTTGTTCCATACCATTAAGTATTATGTTATAAATAAAGAAAATGCTTGCCATTCATGGAAGGGTGGATGAGGGGAAGTTGGTCGAGAAATGTTTCTGTTGCCGTATAAGGGCTTTGAGTAATGGCCACTTTCTTTTTTCCCTCCTTCCAATTTCCTTTAACAGTGTTTGTCAGGTTCAACTCCAGCCATGGTTTCCCAGTGGAGGTGGATTCCGACACGAGCATCTTCCAGCTCAAGGAGGTGGTTGCTAAGCGACAGGGGGTTCCAGCTGACCAGTTGCGCGTGATTTTCGCGGGGAAGGAGCTTCGGGATGACTTGACAGTGCAGGTGAGTCTCCCATGCTGAACTGTTCCTGGGACGCAGCCAGCGCCATTGCGTGTGCTGCTTCCTCTGCCAAGCTGACATTCATGCATGAGATCTAATAGAATAAATAGTGCCTGGGGATTCCTTGAACTTTACTCCACACTGCTTCATTAATTCTGACCTTCTTAATTATGCATTAAAACAGCAAGCAGGGAGGATTGGAAGAACAACTGTGAGTAACAGAGAGAGAGAGAGTGAGAGAGAGAGGGGACACACAACCTGGGCTTAGTGAGCAAATGTTTACTGACTACAGGAGCAGCATGGCACAATTTCTGTGTCTCTTCAATTTCTACCTTACTTATTCCACTTGAATCTTAATGAAGAAGGATTGGAATAAAGTGTTCCAAATCTGGCAGCTCATGCGCTGCGCTGGGAGGCATTTGTAACCCAATTGTGACCCCTGGAGGATGGTCGGAAGCCTGCGCCTGTGGCTTGCTGGAGTTGGGGCCGGCTCAGGGCCTCACTTCCAGCCAGTACCAAGTGCTCCTGCCCCACGAGAGCCACATGTGCCCAGGCTGCGGGGGCAGGAAGCCTGACACACCCAGAAGTCCACCTTTGCACCGAATTTCTCTACGCTTCAGTTAACCTTTCCCTGGAACAGGCGGCCGAAATACCTGAGAGGGAGCAGCGTGTGTGCGCCCCTCTCCTGGCCCTAATGCCCTTGGGGACCGCAGACTCCTAAAACCATTAAAGCCCATATCTTTTTCATCTGGGTGTGATTTCTGTAGGAATATGGGAGCGCTGGAACCAGAATATTTTATGCTACCATAAGTTTTGAAGCTAGAGTTTCTAAGGCTCCTTACCTCTGCCATTTGAGTGGATGGCTTAGACTAATTGCTACAGGTGATTGATTTATTTCACAAACATATTGCTATAAGGTATTTACTAACTTCAGTTCTTTTTATTTTGACAAACACTTCTTAAGTAAGGGAGAGCTGGTTAGGCGAGTGGTGAAGTATGCCACGACCTACAAGCGGAAGCCTATAGTATGTTGGGGAAGCTAGCAAATACGGTTCAGTGGGTACTGAAGTCATTCGTTGTGAAAGCATGAAAAATCAGATGCTTTCTGTGTCTGGTTCATGTGACGCGGGAGGACCTCATATATACATTTTCCCCTTTGTTAACCAGCACAGATTAACTGCACTCCTGTTTACGTGGGGCTGGTGGGGGCCGCTGCTGCGCATGGCTGTGCCGTGTCCGGCTCTGCAGAGCCCCTTCTGTACTGATGTCCTATCACTGCCTCCTCTTAGTGCCGGTTATTTGCTGTTCTGTGAAATGCTTTGAAATTGGGGCTGACAAAGGAAGCTCTAGAAGCAAATTGTTCTCCTGCCAGTCCAGTGAACCTCGGATGGCAAGAGGCAGTAGCTCAACTGTCTGGGCTTTGCTTTTAGGCAATTTGTTGTTATAAGAGAACTGCCTGTGCTGAAGGGGTTTAGATTTTTTTTTTTTAAACTGAAAAGCTTTTTATTCTACCTGCCAACCCCTAAATCCAAGAAGGTTTCTTTCACAAATAAATTATTTTAAAACAGCTCCTTAAACCAAAATATTTTGTTACCTTAAGTTTTGTAATTTGAGTTTCTAAGCTTCTCACCATTGCCATCTGAGCGGATGGCTTAGATTAATTGCTACAGACAATTCATTTTGCCAACATTACTATAAGATATTTACTGGTTTCAGTTCTTCTTATTTTGACAAGCACTTCTTAAATATTTCCAATGTTCTGGGCTTCATAGGGGATTGCAAAGAAAGGAAAAACTCATCCCTGTTTTTGTGGAGCCTCCCCTTTTTTTTAGGGGTTCTAAAATCAACAGAAATATTAGGGTGAACCATTTGGCATAGGTTAAAACTATCTAGCAATGTCATGTGGTTCCACCTAGTAGCTACAACATAAGGATGTTAAAGCCATATGCAAACAGAGACGTATGAAATTTTAAGTGTGGAGAAAATACATCTGAGTGCAAGTCACCAAGAAAGACTTCACGGATGAATTGAAACTCGAGTAGGATTTCAGAGATGGAGAATGAGCACGGAGTGTGCTTGGGAAAAGCCTGGCTTCCTGTTCTGCCTGAGCCCAGAGAAGGGGTTGCAGATGGGAAGAGAAGGGAGTTTGGAGCTATTACAGAGCTCAGCTGCCTTGGCCCTGGGTTCCATGCCTGGACAGCAGGGCAGAATCGGATGCCGTGGCGAGGACTGCAGGTCTGGAGGCCCCGTTTGTTTTCAGCAAGGATTAGGGCCCTTTATACACGATGACAGTTCATGTCAGGGGGTCATCTGTGTGGAGATGTCTAGAACTTAGGTGTGGACTTCAGGGGCTCATTTTATGTTTAAGAACTACCTACCCAGTTACTGGAACAGTGCAAAATTGCCAAGGAGCAGAGGACAGAGGCTTGAGCACATCCTTCAGGTGGTGGGGGGTGCCATAAAGGAGGCATTACCCATCCAAATGATGCTTCTGAGGATATTTTGGAAAAGGAACTTACTGATAAAGAGGTTTACATGCCGTGAAAAGAAGGAGGAGGCTGATGAAGAAAAGAGCCTTTGGGCATGGGGGCAGTTGTGGTGACCAGGAGTGGGGTCCAGGACTGTGGCTGGGGGAAGCCAGACTGTAGGAGTTCACGTGCGGTGCAGAATGTGCAATGAGCACAGCAAGGGGAAGGAGAGGTGGCAGAGGGGGTGGAGAGGGTGTCCAGGAGGAGGAGCAGGGCCTACACTGTGTGGCCCTTGGGTGTGTGCATCGCTCTCTTTCTACAGCTGGGGTCAGTGTGAAAATGCAGTGCTGTATTCTGGTTTTCTTTCACCTGACATTAGATCATAAGCCTTTTCCACGTTGTTATACAATCCTCATTTGTAAGTGTGTGGATGATACTCTATACAGTGTTTATATCGCAATACAACTCTTAGTATTTAGCAAGTATCTAGTTTCTAATATTACAAATAAAGATAAAAACCATTTTTTCAAATGTTTTCATACTTAGAGAATGCAGACTCTTTGTGTTTCAGTTTGCTCATTTGTAAGTGGAAATAATTATAGTACCTATCCCACTGGAATTTAATTGAGGACTGAATTAGTTTATATAAATTCTTCGAGGATGACAAATTGTGAACATTATATAAATGTCAGTATTTATTACCAACAACATCATAATGGTTGTCGCCACCATCATTGCTAGGCAGTTACTTCGGAGTCTAGAACATCACCTTAAATAGCATAAAACTTTTCCATCGTGAGTTGTGCATATGTCTGTAATAAAGAGTTACAGAGTGATAAGATACATATTTTACTGGGACAAATATATATATGTATATATCTCTGTGTGTGTATATGTAATATTTACACATTTTAAATATAAAGAATTCTATGGAGTTTATTATAAATATGTTTTTGAGCCTTACAAATACAGGTTTTACTTAAGAGCAGTAGAACTTGAATTCTGCAAGCTTAAAAACACTTTACGGTTCTTCTAAACAAATTTAGTAAAAAAGAACCCTACTGATGTAGTATTCAGCAGATTCATCATGACATTATTGCTCTTGAAATATATTTTCATAAAGTGGTTATCTGCCACACAATGTATTTGTTAGAAGCAAATTAGAAGGAGTTATACCATTTTTTCCTGCTTTATAAACAATGTTTTTGTGAATTTTTTTGTTATTTTCCTTATACTTACAAGAATGTGATATTAAATATTAATCTTTGACTTATTATTCATAACGGATTACTATTTTTTCTTTGTAAAAAGTTCTTATCAGCTCTTGCAACAGAGTATTCAGGGCCCATTCAAATCATGGGTCACCTCTTCTCCTATGCCCCAAGTCTAATACACTACATATCAAAAATCTGAAATCATCTCTACATAGTTTTTAATTTATTATTCAGAAGTATATAAGGAAAATAACACATTTTAGTGTAGTCTGATATACCAAAGCTGATGAACTTTGTAATTAGATTAACTTAAAAATGGCAGGGACATGAGAATTTATATAAGGTTTTATTTGAGAAAAATTCATTGTATTCACATGAGCTCTATTATTATTAATATCATTAATATCAGTATAGGTTTATTAGGCAGTCTGTTAGACTATTAGAGCTCTCCAAAGAAGCAGAACCAATAGTATGTATAGATAGATAGATAGATAGATAGATAGATAGGTAGATAGACAGACAGACAGATAGATAGGTGGATAGGTACATAAATTTATTATAAGGAATTGGCTCATGCAGTTCCCGAGGGTGATGTGTTCTAAGGTCTGAAGTTGGCAGGCTTAGTTCCAGTCTGAGTCTGAACGACTGAGAACCAGGAGAGGCAGTGGTGTAGTTCTAGTCCAAAGGCTCACAGGCTCAAGACCCAAGAAGAGCTGATGTTTCAGTTCAAGTCCAAAGGCAGGGGAAAAAACCAGTGCCCGGGCTAGAGGGCTGTTGGACAGGAGTGAGAACCAGGAGAGGCAGTGGTGTAGTTCTAGTCCAAAGGCTCACAGGCTCAAGACCCAAGAAGAGCTGATGTTTCAGTTCAAGTCCAAAGGCAGGGGAAAAAACCAGTGCCCGGGCTAGAGGGCTGTTGGACAGGAGGCATTCCTTCTCACTCGTGGGAGGGGCAGCTTTTGTTCGGGCTTTCAGTAGATTGGAGGGGGCCTGCTGTGATGGGGAGAGCCGTCTAATTTGCACAGTAAATTAGAATGAAATGTTAATCTCATCCAAAACACCCTCACAGATACCCCTAGACTAATGTCCGAGCAGATGTCTGGGCACCCCATGGCCCAGTCAAGTTGACATACAAAATTAACCATCACAGCCAGGATATGAGAAGCCTTGCAATATCTAATTAATGTTAATGGGAAGTTATTCTATTTGCATTCTCTTTGTAATAATGGACTAGAATTACAAAATAGAAAATAAAAAATGACTTCTTTTTACATAGAAATGTTTGCTTTATGAAAGGGTTCATACAGATGGATGTTCATAAATT